GTCTGTTAGCATCTATGAGAAGGGGAATGTTCCCTGGAATACATTGGTTCTTACCTTCTGGGATGCACGACACGTCGTCGCTTGCGAGCCTGTACCCCTCTGCGCAAGAGCACTGGCGTAATGTAGTTGGGCTGTCTACACAGTACTGTTCACAGTCGCCATTTTTATAAAAGCACTTTAGTTTGGTTTCTGGACCTAAAAATAAGAGATTTTTTAAAAACAAAAAGTAAATTAACGCCATGTGATTTTGTACACGTGCTTGCAATATTGGTTGTCCCTGTGCAGATGCACAAAACGTCACTGTTCAACAAAGAACATGACTTTGGAACAGAGGTTGGAACGTTAGATTTTAAAATAATTTATTTAATTTGTTAAATTAGCATTATCATGTAAATCACCCCAGCTTTAGCTTGCTCTGAGGCTTTGATTTTTGTTTTTGCTCTAAAAGGGCATTATTTTTGCAAACTGTGTGCCAGCCCAGTGAATCATGGACGTTGAAGAAATGCACCTGACTCTCCAAAACACCTGCTTAAAAAGTGTTTAGTAGTGGACCATTCAGGGCAAACTACATGTTACTCTTACTAAATAGTATGCAGCTACTTCTTGGTTTTTACTTAATTACAAGAAAGTACTGGGGAAGTGTCAATTGTTATCAGGCCTACAGGTCTCAGGGAGAGGATGTGTATTCCTCTCCTCCAGAGTCATGACCCTCCCTCCCTAGTTGAGGTGCAAGAGTTAGTAAGAAATCTCCCACTGGCATCAATGGGAACATTTTTACTATGCCCTACATAAGAGTATGATTTTGATGGCAGTTGCAACTGAATAACTCTCCCCTCCTCGTGTATAACTGGCCAAATAATTACTTTCACTTGGCCCTGTAAGTAACTGAAGGAAAGGGGAGATATTGCTACTCACCATTCATTAAGCACAAGGTGACATTTGACTTTTGTTATTGCAACTATGCAGTATTAAGTGTTGTGGAGTTCATTGTCTCAGGACAGTGTGTTGAGCGATGGTGAGACTCTCCTGAGAAATGTGAGAGGAGGAAAATTGCAACATTGATACGCTGTTTTGCTTCTCCTATGTCGCTTAATAAATAATGTGACAAGCTTGCATGTCTGTCATTTTGTAGTGTAGGAGACAACATTGTCTCCTGTGAATCAGGCAACTGAAGATACCACCGTGTCCAAAACTGTGGAGAAGGCTTTTAGGGATAGGAAGTTGCAAAGGTGATGATAAAATCTATTTGCCTTGCATTACTTGAAGGGCTATAAAGATAGGTGGTGTGAGTCACTCACTGACTGTATTGTTAGAGACTAGGAGACATTTGCAAGATATTTGTGCTGTAAGGCTGCCTCAGTATTCTCACATGCGTGATGAAATTAGCATGGAAAAACTGGATAAGATATTGCTAAGGAAGACCAGCAGGACTTGCTAAACATTTCTGTTCAGTGTCTCTATCAGCTGAGTTCCACTCCTCCATCTCTCCAGGCTTTCCTCTGCTATAGCCATTCTGTGGTCACTGAGTATGCTCAGTATTCAGTGGCTTGTTTGTGATTCTCTTGGTTCTTTTCTTTTTTTTTTAATTTAATTTTATTTATATTTCTAAAGAATGAAAAGACAACCCACTATATTACAAATAACAAATACAAAGCTATTCCCCACAATTCTCCAAATCACATTTATACCATTCCCCATCACCTTTTAAAGAAATATCGACCAACAATCTAATTTTTTTTTCAAACCACATGTCTCAAAGTCTATTTTGTCGGCATATTTTAATAATGGCTTCCAATTTTCAGTGAATTTACTGTGGCTTATTTCTCCTCTATGTAATCTAACTTTATTAGTCATTTTTTCCATCAGCATTGTATGCTGTATTTTACTCGTGAATGCTTGCAATGAGAGATCTTAGGCTTTTTTCCCAATTTCTAGCGATTTCAAATCTTGCGGTACCTATAAGATTTGCAATTGGATTGTTTTTTTCCCTAGAAAAAGAATAAATATGTAATTCTTTCCAATTTCTAGTGATTTCAGATCTTGCAGTACCTATAAGATTTGCAATTGGATTGTATTTTTTCCTTAGAAAAAGAATACATCTGTAATTTTGCAAA